AGGCCGGCGCCGGGAGGAGGCCGCCGCGGCCATGGCAACCGGCACTTCCGGCCCGCCCCTCCGCGCCGCCCCCGCGGCCCGCGCGAAGTTTGGATCCCTCTGCGGGGCCGGCGAGCTCTGCGGAAGGCTCCCAGGGCTCCGACGCTCCTCGGTGACCCCGGAGAACCTGCGCTTTTAAATGATTTCAGAGTGAAACCAGAACATTTACGCTCGACTGTTTTCTATGTTCTTTGTTAGTTTGCTCGTTGTAATACTGTTCCATTATGGATCAGTTCTTATGAGCATGTCTGATGAAGCTCTGGCTCTTACAACAAATGTTTGATGGGAAGCAACTAGGAGATAGAGCTTGATATGCCTAAGTTCACTCGTTAATAAAACCTGCTTGCACCAGTTCCTACCGCAGAAAAGTAATTAGCTCGATTAATTTAGATTGCATTAATACTGTGCAAAAAAATATTTTATTTCTAGTGTATTTCCATTGCAAGCATCAGTTTTTTTCTGTATTGAGAGTGGGAAAGTGAGGAGGCAAGCCTCCAGGGCCAGGACTTGAACCACAAACAGCCATGTGGGAATCCAGCATCCCAACCATCACACCACCTGCTGGCCCTACTGATTGTATTTGAAATTACATGTAGGGAACTTATAGTTTATATAATACTGTTTACTTTGTGCAGAAATATTTTCATTAACTTCCTTCATGAACAGAGGAAAAAGTTCAACTTACCTCAACATATTATTCTTCATTTAGTCAAATATTTACTTATTTGAGAAATCCTTCTTAAACAAATACTCTGTCCTACCCCTCTTCTACACACTAAAGATACATAGGTTAACAAGACAAAGGTTCTACCCTTTATCTGTATTGTCAAAGGTTGTGTGCGCTCACCAGAGAGTGAGGAAGGGGAAAGCACTCCCCGGTGGGAAGTGGTCACATCACAATCCTTTCTCCATTTCTCCATCCTGGAGGAATTTCCGAGTACCCAGGCACACACAAGCCCAGCATATTTTTTTCAAGCTGCTGAGTCGGGATTTGAACCATGGTTGGCCATGTGGGATCCAGCTCCCTTAACCGTTAGGCTATGGGGCTGCCCCAGATTTCAGCTTCTTGGTATTTGCCTTCTAGTGAGGGAGCCAGACGCTAAACAAGGAAATGAATGAATCGTTTCATATGGTGATTTGTGCTTTGAAGATAAAGGGGGCCACATGTTAGAACATAACTAGGGTGAGGAGTGTGTTTGCTGTTTCAGCAAAGTGTCTGAATGTGGCTCGATAAAACAGAAACGTAACGAGCCACTCCAACATTCAGCACAGACATTTAATACAAGGCCACTCGTATCAGGAAAGGTCAGGTGCAACAGTGATTCAGAAGCACCAGCAGCTTCACTCCTGCGTGTCTTGCTCTACACCCCGAGGCGCAGGCACGCTGCAGCTTTGGAAAGGGCACCAGTGGGGCTGCAGCTGGGCTGAGAGCACGCCTGCCCCGGCCCCGAACCCTCTGCCTACCATGACAAGGATCAGCTAGGCTGAAGAGGAATCAACACCCTAAACAATCAGCAAGAGCGGGGAAGACGTGGGGGCCCCACGTGTCACTTGTTTTCCAGACATAGGGCTGTCAACTACACGCCCCTGGGCCCCTGGTGGGTATCAGAACAGTCACCTCCGAGGAGCCTGTACATATTCTCTGAGACCTGACTGGCGGGAAGCAGCAGCCATGTGATGCTGTGAGGGAAGCGCATTCCAGATGACAGGAAGAGCCAGGGGTCTGCCCTGTCAGGACAGCGGGAGGGCTAGGGTGGCTGGAGATGATGAGCTGGGCAGAGGATGGGAAGAGATGAGGTTGGGCTGGGCGGGGAGGACCAGACCGGTTTACAGTCTTAGAGGACAAAGTCAGCCATCTTTATTTTATTCCAGCCTTAAATTCCATTTTAAATGCATTCTTAGTGACTGGTTTCATTATCTGCCAGTATTTATTTCTGATACTTAAGAAACCTAATTGGGAGAAGATTCTTCATGGCACTTGCGAACTAGTTATTTCAGGGTCCAAGAGAAATGAAGATTTTCTACTGATAAGTCAGCCTCCAGCAAACAAGCTGGCGTGGCAGGGGAGACGAGCCTTCAGAAGAAGATTCCTCGGGACCAGCAGTTAGCATAATGGCTATGTCACTGGATTCGCACATAGTTGACCGCGGTTCACATCCCGGACCTGGTGGCTTAAACTCAACGTTGGCACATGTGCATGCATGCCCAAGGTCCCGAGAGGAGAATGGAGGAGAAGGGATTGCGGTGTGCCTAAAGACCCCACGCCAGTCTCCGCCTAATCAGTGAACTATGAGTGTGTTCTGACTCAGGGGGCCCCAGCATGCAGCTACAGTTGGGAGCCTCAGCTTAACTGTTGCCCATCACAGTGGGGATGGAGTTAGGAAAGTCCAGCCAAGTTAACTAACTGCTGGGACAAAATCCAACTGCTTTGGAAGAAGGTAACAGAACTTATCATTCAAAACATCCACCATAAAATTAAAAATTACTAGTCATGTAAAGAAATTGGAGAATATGACCCATAGTCAAGGCAAAAAGAAATCGATAGAAACCAAGATGGCCAGAAGTTGGAATTAGCAAATATGAAGTTTAATGTAGCTATTATAAATATGTTCAGAGAAAAATATGTAATGATGAAGCAGAGACATGGGAAATAACCAAATGGCAATCCTAGAACCAAAAATGGACAAGCTATCAAAACTGTCACAAAAAGAAACAGTAAGTCTGAATAGCCCTTTTTGAAGAGATTGCGCGTGTAGTAATAATCCTTTCTGCAAGAAAATGCAAAGGTCTAGACGACTTTTAAATTCCATTGAACATGTAAGAAGGAAAATGAGTCTTACACAAACTCTTCCAAGAGAAGTGGACCAGGGAACTTTTCCCATCTAATGAGAATTACCCTATTGTTGAAACTAGGCAAAGACATTCCAAGAAATTACCAACATCCCTTGTGAACATAGGTATGAATACTCGTAACAAACTAAGCAAACATATTTTGCAATGTATTTTTTAAATTATACATCATGTCCTGATAGTTTAAATCAGCAATACAAGATTTGTTTCACCTTCAAAAAAAATCAATCAATATATTCACCACATTAAGAGAGTAGAGGAAAAAAATCATTAGACTCAAAGAACACTTGACAAAAGCCAACATCCATTTATGATAGAAACCTACCAGCAAACTTAGAATAAAGAGAAACTTCATTTCTGTAGCAGGCAGAAGACATACTTGAAGGATATATGGGAGTCTCCTCTTGCCCAGGGGGATATATTCCAAGACCCCCAGTGGACGCCTGAGACGGTAGGTACCAGTAAACCCAGCATCTACTGCGCTTTCATATACATACGTGCCCAGTTAAAGTGTAATTTATAAAGTAGGCATGGTAAGAGAGTAACAACAATAACAAAATAGAACAAATACAGTACTATACTATAATAAGAATTATAGCCGGTGTGGTGATTAAGGCACTGGACTCCCACATGGCTGACTGTCGATTGAGTCCTGGACCTGGCAGAGTCCTCTCTGTTGCTCACACATATGTCCTATAGCAAATTTAAAATAATAATAATAAATTAAATTAAATAATTCTTTTTTTTTTAAGAGGTTTTTGCTATAGGGCGCATGTACTCGCCAGACAGACAGAGCAGAGATAGAAAGCGAAAAATCACCCCCCCCAGGGGTGATGGCCACACCGCAATCGCTTCTCCTCCATTATCCTCTTGGGATCTTGGGCACGCACGCACACGCGCCTGGTGTGAATTTACGTCACCGGGTCCGGGACTCGAACCACAGTTGACTATGTGGGAGTCCAGTGACGTAGCCATTATGCTAACTGCTGGTCCCAAATTAAATAATTCTTTACAAAAAAAAGAGTTATGGGGACCAGCAGACAGCATGATGGTTACATCACTGGACTCCCACATGGTCGACCACAGTTCAAGCCCCAGACCTGATGGCTTGAAACTCATGCCAGGTGCTTTTGCATGTGTGCCCAGATCTTGAGAAGAGAATGGAGGAGAAGGGATTGTGGCGTGGCCATGCCCCCTGGGGAGGGAGGGTGATGCTTTCTGTCTCCCTGTCTCTCCAGTGAGTAAATGCGCCCTATAACAAAATTCTCTCTTTAAAAAAATTTTAAAAATTATGTGATTTCTCAAAACATCTTATTTTACTTGCTTGCCCTTCATCTGCCTCAGTTGTTCCTAGATCACAGAAGAACTGCAGATATCCACCTGAAGAAAAATGAAACTGGACCCCATCTGCGACCATTAACAAAAGCCAACTCGAAATGGATCACATATTTAGATGTAAAACCTCGAACTATAAAACTACTGGTAGAAAACACAGGGGAAACTCTGAAGATATTGGAGTTGGTAAAGCTTTCTTAAATAAGACCTCTAAAGCACAGACAATTATCACAAAAATAGACAAATAGGATGATATCAAGTTAAAAACCTTCTGCACAGCAAAGGAAACAGCAATTAGAGTGGAGAGACAGCCCTCAGAATGAGAGCGAGTATTTGCAAACTATGCTAGAGATAAGGGATCAATAGCTAGAATATGCAGGGGATAGGTTAGCTCACCCACACGCACACAAAAATCCATTTAAAAACAGGCAACTGAGCTGAACAGACAACACTCTAAGGAGGATATTCAAATGGTCAAAAGGTACCATTTGCTGAAGACTTTCTTCTCTGCAATGCATTTTCTTATACCCCTTGTCAGTTGACTGTCCATTTTGAGTTTAATTCTGGGTTCTCTGTTCCATTGATCTATGTGTCTGTTTTTGTGCCAGAACCATGCTGTTTTGATTACCAAAGCTTTGTAATATGTTTTGAGGCCAATTAATGAGATGCCTCCTATTTTATTTCTTTTGCACAGTATTGC